ATAACATTTAGAGTCGCTAAGCTAGTCATTAATACAATCATACAAAGATACACCCTACATACCGTATGGAGTATCCACTTGCTGGGGGCACTATTCAGCTCCTAATCCACATCTCAAGGAAACCACCAACAATGCAGCGAAGCAGCAGTCGCCAGCCAAGAGGACCCCCATCGGTCCCTCCCATAAACCCTAGAAAGGATTACCATAAATAAGTTGGAAACCCCAGACCAGATTGTGACAATTGCGATGAGACTTTATACTCCGACATACGTTTAAAACTACAGAATATATAATCTACTTATTATATGAATATTCTTTGCTTTTATACATATAAAGGAAATTATACTAATAAACATTCCTTGCTTTTATACACATAAATGAAATTATGTTAATAAATATTCTTATACTCAAAATATCTTGAAACAAACTATTAATTGAAAATTGATCCACGAGAATTTTCACATTGTGTACAATTCTTCAACAAGGGGGGACATGTGACGTCATGCGTATTTCCACCCCAGAATTTTGCTAAGTACTCATAATTAAACTCACACAGTGTGGTAATTCGTGGATCAAAACACCATAAGTTCTTACCAACCAACTGCGAAAACCATTTAGTATAGTTAGATTTTACATTTAATATACTTAGAATTAAATACGACTCTTGTGCACAAACAACGAACGAAAATCCAGAGATACTAACATAAACGAATTAAAAGAAATAAGAATTACTAGGAGGAAACGCTATGCCCCAACTACGCAAACATTACAATTCAATATTCAAATAATTAACAATAATTATTTCATTATTGTTGAAACGCTCAAATCGCTAAAATCCATAGAGTAAAATATTGCATTCTCACTATTAATTGTCAACTCGGAAATCGCATAAATAATTTAACATCAATTAATTATTGTTTAAACGTTTAAATAATTAAAATCGGTCATGGATTAAGGGCCGAATGTAACACCTCATACGAACATCAAAATCGCCTAAATTTGTATTTAAAATCGTTAATAAACAATTGCGTTAAACCTAGGATTTAAACAAATAGGAAATTGGTTAACTAATAAGAAAACGCCTAATTATCAGCATATACGCGACACAGCTTCGCCTCAATATTAATAATTAAGCGCCTGAGATCATTAATAATTGTTTACAACAATAACATGAACTATTATTTTAATAAATGTGAAATTTATTGAATAGTGTTAATATTTACGCCTAGCGTACGAATTTTAATCCAACTTACACGCAGTACCTTTTTTTTTTTTTTTTCAACGAGGGGGAAATGCATTAAGCACACCTGGCGATGTAGGGTTCTTTCGCCGGGTAGTGTGGGACTCCCAGCGGGCTCGATCGCCCGCGGTATACCCACTAAAACCCCCCCGATGGCCAACGTCGGGCATTACAGCGGCCGTGAGCACTCTAAGAAGAACTACACCACAGCCGCCGTGCCCAGGCTCCCCTAATCGTTGGGGAGCCCATCTCCTCAGTTTCTCTCAGCGCCAGGGGCCATACCCTGACACCGACCGCCTTGGGACCGGTCTTGAAGACGGTGGCGCCCTACCGCCAGCCGTCTGGGTCCCCGCGGCCCCTCGCACGACATGCCGGGTCACCGTGACTGTGACCCATGACAAACGTGCGCGCAAGGGGCCGTCTTACCATTCTGGCTGCCCTCTATCAGGGCGGGCGGCGAACAGGCAGGCCATTAGGGGGCTCCGGGCACCCCGGTTTCGAACCCTCCAGCTGTGTGGGGATCGGCCGGTAATACGATCGGATGCCACCTCCAGGCCCGCCTAACCCGTCTTCTTTCTTGACGAGCGGGATCGGAGCGTTCCCGATACTGTATGCCGCGGAGCATGTGCCGGCTTTGCCGGCACTTGGCCAGGGTGTCGGCCCATACGGGACATCCGTATAGGGCCATGGGCCGCACCACTCCAACATAGAGGCGGCGCACCCTCTCTTGCGGCCCCCCGAAATTGGGTATGAGGCGACCAAGCATGGTCGCCACCCTCTCAATCTGGAGGGACAAGCGGTCGAAGTGACCTTTGAAGCGCCAGCGGCCATCGATGTCCAGGCCGAGATATTTGATCCGGTCCTGGACATCGATGCAGGCTCCACCTATGCGGATCCGCGCTGGGGGAGGTCGCCGCGACAGAGGCAGCCCGTGAAACCAGACCGCCTCCGTTTTCTGCTGCGACACTTCCAACCCCAAGGCGCGGATCCGGGCGACGACCGAGGCCACTCCCATCTCGGCGACCTGACGCGTCCTCGTCCATTCCCTGCCCCCGGCGATACCGAACGTGTCGTCTGCAATGCAGACAACCGGCACGCCGGGAGGTAGGGGCCCGCCTAGCACGCGGTTGTACCCCACAAATCAAAGAACGGGGCCCGAACAGGACCCCTGGGGTACATTGCGTGTCACCTCCCTCCGGTGCATGCCGTACCGTCCCGGATACTCCACCCATCTATCCCGCAGGTAGTCGGCGAACACGGCCATCAGGTGAGAAGGCGCTCCAGACTCTCGGAGCGCCTCCCATATCTTGCCCTAGGGCAGGGTGTTGAACGCGTTGGAGATGTCTAGAGACACCCCTAGCGCCACCCCGCCCCGGGACACGGCCAAGTGCGCGAGGGCCTTGACGTGCTCGATCGCGTCAGGCGTCGAGCGGCCACCGCGAAATCCATACTGGCACTCGGCCAGGCCGAGCTCGTCGACGCGAGACAGATGGGCGACGAGGCGGGAAGCGAGCACACGCTCTAAAAGTTTCCCCGCCTCGTCCAGCAAGCAAACGGGCCGGTAGGCGGAGGGAGAGTCCGCGGGCTTTCCCTTCTTGGGGACAAGGACGAGCCTGGCCCTCTTCCACTGTCGCGGCACGCGCCCCGACTTCAGGCAGCCGTCCAGCAGCCGCCGGAAGCGGGGCCCGAGGACGCGCACGGCCATTACCCAGGCCCGGCCGGGAATACCGTCAGGGCCCGGGGCCGTGTTGCTCGGGGCTCGCTCCTCCGGATCGTCCGGAAAGAGTGTATCGACGACCCGCTCGAGCACGTCGGGGTCCAGACTTTCCGTGACCAGGGGCGCCGGTGGTCGCAGGCGCCCCATAACGATCCGGTAGGGACGGCTCCACGGATCGCGGTCCAGAGAGTCCAAGAGCTCGTTCCAGGCTCGTGCCTTGGCCTCCTTGATGGCCGACTGGATGGCGACCGTTGCCTGGCGGTAGTCACGGTACAGCTCCTCCTCCCTCGCCGGGTCCCGACTTCGTCTGCGGTGGAAACGCGTAAACCGGCGTCGGGCCGCCACACTGCTAGCTCGCGAGGCAGCGATCTAGTCCGACCACCAGTACACGGGCCGCCATGGCGGAGCGCGGATCCGGAGCATGACGGCATCGCAGATAGCTGTCATTGCGCCCCGGAACCATTCTTCCTCCACCTCGATGTCGTCGCACGGTCCGGGCAGTGTTTCCGCCCAGGACATGGCAAGGGCTGCGGTCATCAGCGCGTCTTCATCAAGACGGCCTAGCGCCCATCGGCGTCGTAAATGTCGCCCCACGGGGCGGCGGGTGGGGTGGCCGTGCTGAGTGGCGGATACATTAAAGATGATGTGGAGGTGGTCGCTCAACGTTTCCACCTCCTCTTCCACCCTCCACCCCGACACGAATCCCGCGGCGGCGGGCGAGGCCCAGGAGATGTCCACAATGGAACCTCCCCACAGCCGCGAGAACGTATTGACGAACCCCCGGTTGAGTAACCGGAGTTCTAGTCCCGCCGCTCACTCCAGCACTGTATCTCCCCTTGCGTCCGTCCTGGGGCAACCCCAAGCCGTGGATTTGGAGTTTAAATCCCCAAGGACTAAGGTTTGTCGGGTTCGGCAGTGCGATTGCAGGCAATCTCGGAACCGATCCTATAACGTCTCAAAGGACGCGGGGGTCAGGCTGGGCGGGGCGTAGACGCCTACGACCGCCGAGCCGCCATAGCGTGCCGCGACATAGCCGCGCCCTCTAGCTAAAACGCTAAAGGGTGCATCTCCCCTACTCAAAATCGCCACGGAGCCCAAATCGTCCCCAGCCCAGTCTGGGCGATTGGGGACACGGTAGGGCTCCGAGGCGACGATCAATTCCACTCGCAGCTCGGATATTGTCTGGATGAGCAGATCCTGAGCCCGAGCCGCGTGGTTGAGATTGGCCTGTAGGACCCACGTCGCAGGGGGGCGTGGAGAACCCGTTTTAGGCAATCTCCATAGCCCCTCCGCGGCCGGGTCTCTCTTCACCTGCTTCGGCAGGCGCACCTGGCTGCTTCCGGGGCGCCTGCACATCTCTTGCCACTGTCATCGGTGCCTGCATTGGCTTCAGAGGGAGAGGCGCTCCCCGTGGCGGCGGCGCAGTGGGAGACCGAGTCTCCTGCGCCTTTTGCGCCGTTCTTTTTCCAGCGGGAGGAGGGCGGGGCTCAGCCTTTTGCCCTCAATCGGTGACTGGACGGCCGCCCCAGGTCGGCACAGACGGGGCACTTCGGGGGTGAGGTGCTCTCCCGCGCCCCGTGGTCTGTGCCGCCGCAAATGTAGCAGCGGCCTGTCCGGTCTGCCTCGCAGGTGCAGAGCCGCCTGACGTGCCCCGTTTCCAGGCAGCGGAAGCACCGGAGGGGGCCAGGCTCCAGGGCCTGCACCCTGGCGTGGACCCAGCCCACCTTAACCCGCCCGCCGGGAGGCGGACCCAGGCACTGCCAACGCCATTGTGGGTCCTCCTACTGTCTCTGGTCTTAATGTCCGCGGGTCCACAGCCCGTGGCAGCAGCCAAAGCCGTCGCCACCGATTCCGGGGACGCGCCGTCGTCCAGGCCGACGATGCGTATGTCCGCGAGTTTCGTCGGCCTGGCCACCTGGTCGTCAGTCCCGCGAAATACTTCGCGCAGCATTCCGGCCAGCTTATAGGCCTTGGCAGCGCTTTCTGGCCCCGGAACTTCAATTATTGAGGCGCCCGTTTGGCCCCTCCTAAACCGGATGCCGGTTATACCAGCGTCCTCCAGCCGGAGGCGCCGCCTCTTGGCCGTTTTTCCGGTCCTTTAGCGGCCGGATGCTGGCGAGGCTGGGCGGCGACGGCGGCAGCAGCCTTGTTTTGGCCGCGCCGCACCTTCCTTCCGACGACTGCGGCCCAGGATTCTCTGGGCGCGTTATTTAACGCCGGTGGCTGGGAGGTGGGCCCTGCCTTCGTTGGGGCAGCGACAGCGGCGGGCGGGTTGTTAGTGCTTTTCACGGCCTGCAATAGGGCCCGCCGCTGGGGCGGCTTCGCAGGCGGCGGCGCAGGAGGCGGAGCAGAGGGTGCCACTGACGGCAGCGGAGTTGTCGTCGTCGCTATCCGACGCTGCCGAGGCCGCGTCTGGGCCAGCTCGGCGGTCGGAGGCGGCATCTCCACCTTCATAGGGGCCACCGCAGGCCGCGGCGGACGAGCCGCGGCGGGGGGACGTCGCTCTTTGGGGATGTCGGCGATGGATCCACGGCCAAGCAACTGTTCAAGTTCGTTCACCCGGGCGCGGAAGAGGAGCGTCGTACGCTCCAGCTCCTCCTCGCGCCCGGTTGCCGTTGTCCTTTTTCCCTGCTCCACGGCGGCGTGTTTGATAAACAACGCCGCCTCGCGGAGCAGGCGCACGAACGTCCCCTTGAGGTTGTTTGACTGACTGGCCACCTTCTCGATGACCCCTACGTGGTCAAATATGACCGCTCCGAGGTCAGGTGTGAGGGTCAGTCTCATCTCCTTCGCGAGCTCCTCCTCCCGCGGAAGGGGTTTACTACTCCGGGAGACGGGCGGTGCCCTGATGGACGGATCCATGGCCGCCCGCTCTCGATCCATCTCGTACCCCTTTAATGCAGCCTCAATGGCCCTTTTTTTTGCCATCGTCAGGCCAACATACTCCCCCGTGGAAAGGAGGCATCCCCGTTAACGTGCCCTCGCGGAGCGCGTGGTGCGGAACGACGCTACCGATGAGCCATCCGACTTCTCGCCGCTAAGGGGTAGCGAGGCGGAATCAGACACCCGCCGCCAAAACTTACCCGCAACTGCGTCCACGCGCTCGACGCTGATTATCGCCGGCTTCAGTGCCGGCGTAGCCCTGTCCACATACAGGCCCGGAGGCCCGGGGACCGTGTTCGTCGCTTCAGTACTCTTCCCTGTAGCAGTGTTACGTGCGGGGGCCATGAGGTCCACCCCGCGCACGTCCCGGTCGTCGGATAACGACGCACCGGTGGCCCGGTCAGCCACCACCGATGCGCCGGTACTGGGGGATCCGAAGCCCCCTGCACCGTAGACGTTCATTCCATTCAGTTCCATTACTCATGTCATAGGGTGCCCCATTGCGGGCGGGCACCGTACCCTGAACTCCCTCTCACTTGCCGTGTCGTCAGCAATAAATCCGTCATGTTGCCATCTCACCGCGTTCGCCCTCTGCATCCAGCAAGTCGGTTCTCGCAAGCGATCGCTGACTCCTGAAGCGGAGGCCCAGGAGCACCACGAGGAGGTGTGGTGAGTGGACTTGACCGGGCGCAGCCTGCCGACTTCGCCGAAATTCCCCGCTCAGGGGGACACCGAAGCGTTTCCCTGGTATAAGGGAACATCAGCTAGGTCGTGGTTTTTGACCGGACCTGGGGGTTTGTGGAAGAGGCGTGGTGACTACGACCAACTGGCCCAGTGCCAGGAAAGCGTGCGTCCAGCCTCATGCTCCCACACTCAGTACCTATGTTAACTCAGGATTAGTATAGTTAACAATAATACATTTATTATTATTTATGCAAATGTGAAATTTGCTATTTAATGGTGATGTATGCGTTAAAAGTACTAGTACCAACCCAAAAAATCGTATCCATACTCATGTTGAGACGTTGACTTCAGTAAACAATATTAATAATTAAGCGACAACAATTATTAATATTTAAAGCGACAACATTGAGAATTAGGCTTAAAGAAAGTGGACAACTATGAAGGCACTTTAATCCTCGGCAGGAAACGCCAACTGAAACAATTCTCGAGCGAGATAGATAAGGGACCGAGACCCAAAACACCGCCAGCTTCCCAAAACATCTTGATAGCGCGCGAAACTATCAAGAACAAAGGAACAAAATCTTACGTGCTAAATTCACACGATGAATTAGTCAGTCCTCTCCGAGCGTTCGTAGCGAACACATCGTCTCCGACATTTTAGCGAATATATTTTCGAAGTTCAAAATTAGGAGTTTCTAAGTTTTCGTTGTGCACAGGAGTCTCTGCGAATAGAGCTCCCCGTACCATCTGTCGCAAATCTTTGTACTTTAATATTTTTCTGCTGTCGAGCAATGACAGTTCAATAAAATTCAAGTTTAATTAAACCAGTGTCGCCTTTCTACTCTATTTTACTGAGTGAATTTAGTTTTTTATTGTGTTAGTTATTTCTATTTCGTGAATGTGATTAAGTGAACTACTTAAGAACATTGTGAAAGAACGTGCTGAATCCTTCAGGCTTACACCTGCCGGGGATTTCGTACAGCTCTGAAACAAATCGGCAGTAGATTCTTCGGGTAGAAACATACACGGAACTCGTATATATGAAGGAATAAATTAGCATTCTTCAGGTTTACACCTGCCGTAGATGCTGATTTTTCTGGAATAACAAACGAGACACGGATGTCAATCTCATTTTAATTACGTTCAAGGCAGCTAAGTCGCCCGCATCGCATCGAAGATACATCAAAAGTGTCATTTTAATAGTTTGGAATTGAAATTAATTAGATAATGACCAAATTTAACCATCGTAAGGGACGTCGCGCCCAACTTCGACGTGTTTTCGCAACATTAAACACTACGGGTTTTTATCAGGAAAACTTAGGAATAGATCCCGCGTTACCGCGAATCCTATCCAATGAACCAGCGAATCATCTATCGTACCGCGTAGAGCCGTTTCCTGACACAGTTTCATTGGGGAGAGCCTACGAAACACTCGTCGCTGCCTTATTCGTGGAAACTCCTGGCCATTCCTCCTCCGACGACGTCACAATAATCGAGGGCCACTACAATGACGACGTCGTGTTCCTGAAGGAAGTTATCCGCCCTCGTTGGCAATTAATCGAATTCAGAAGCGATTTCTCGACGGCCCGCAGTCTTCCTACATCGTACGTGGTTGGAGATTCACGTGCTCCATCACCTGCAAGTCCACTATAAGGTAAGTGTATTAATAAATCCCTCATATTCTTATAAAGGAAAATAGTCGAGTTAATAAGGCAGAAGGCCCCGCGCATGCCCTAAATACACGAAAATCGAACACGTTGGCCGTGCTGACTGAATTAGTTTACTGATTCAATTCGGGACGTGACAGCATTACTTGACAGGCTCCACTTCTGTCGAAAATAATGTATATAGGTTGTTGTTAACAATTTTTAACAACAATTAGACGCCTTAGCGTAGGAATGGAAATCAAGAATTTAGTTTGATTTTACCTTTTGGCTTTATTCAATAAATTTCTCATTTATTAAAATAATAGTTCATGTGATTGTTGTAAACAATTATTAATGATCTCAGGCGCTTAATTATTAATATTGAGGCGAAGCTGTGTCGCGTATATGCTGATAATTAGGCGTTTTTTTATTAGTTAACAAATTTCCTATTTGTTTAACCCTAGGTTTAACGCAATTGTTTATTAACGATTTTATATACAAATTTAGGCGAGTTTGATGTTTGTATGAGGTGTTACATTCGGCCCTTAACCCATGACCGATTTTAATTATTTAAACGTTTAAACAATAATTAATTGATGTTAAATTATTTATGCCATTTCCGAGTTGACAATTAATAGTGTTACGTCGGACCAAGGGTCCCACGTTGGAGTTAGCAAGTAAGTTAGAGATAAGATAGACAGAGATAAGAGATAGTTAAGAAAAGGATAGTAATAAGATGTCTAAATAGAATAAGACTAAGACGTATGAATAAGCTCCGTATTTTAATCTCTAGAATAACATTCCATCTTAATCGCCAGACTAACTTCGCCGTAATCTTTAGAACAACATTCTCAGTAATCGCATATCAACATCCGCCGAATATCTTATGTACACATCCGCCGATAACTTTAAGAATAACATCCTCCAAAAATTATACCATCGCCGAAACTCAGATAACTATAAGCGAATACTTCTAAGAAACCTCCTGTAAGAAAAACATCAGGTGACCACTTGCGAACGATATATAAACCCTCTGAAATTGTAACACAGCGCTCAATCGCCCGGTATCGTCGACGGCTACGAACGCCCGACTTTGTCGTCACGTTCTTCGCCGATACTCAGGGTTCGCTACGCATTAAAACATAAAGTATATTTTTATTATTAAATAAAAGTGTTATTCAATTCAGTTTGAATTCTCTCATTAATTATTCTACCTCGCGTCTCAACGAGCTCGTTAGAATAATTCCCTCAATTACGCTTGATTCAGAGGTGCGCGAATCAGCCGCACGGGATCTACTTACTGCATAATTGAGTGGCCACGCCTACGCGTACTCAGAGGTGCACGAATCAGCCGCACGGGGTGCTTTGCGTACTTGGCGAGATATTAGCTCATGGGACGTACGCGACACGGAGGCCGTCGTTATCATCTACGGAAAATAATTAGAGAACTGCACGCACCGGCGTGCATTGCCAAGTCGGTAGAATCCGATATCGCGATCGTGTGGAAACTCGCGACCATCGACGTGTCGCCCATTGACCACGATCATCAAGGAGGTCACCCAGACGACCCTCGCAAGGCGCTGCGAAGCCAGGGATACCTGGACGACCATCTCTGTCACGAGGACGCATACACACGGATTCCAGGCAGACGACGGGCGTAAGTACCGCGTGGCCTAAAAGATTGATCAACAATAACGACCAGGTGAGGACAATAGCTACGCTATGACGCGCCGGGTACCCTGGGACGTAAAAAATTTTGGTTGCAGCGGTGGGATACATTCAATCACCGTGTGTCTTTATTCCAAGTGACGAGATTCCCATACCAATAACGAATTTGGTGACAGTATTACAGTAACAAGTTTATTACGTTGTTTTGCCGAAATATCTATTCCGAATAACAAGGTGACTCATCGTGTTTACGCGAAACGAGGAGTCACATTTTATTACTCTGTTTTTCCAAAACTCGCTCACCGAAGCGACTCCGCTGCGACCGACCGCAGGTAGTCGACCGCTGCGCGCGCAACTTCCCCCTCCGCGTTACGTACCCTCTCCACGTGTCCAAGCGTCACGCGTCAGCACAGCCGCGCAACGGCACAGTCCGAATCGAGCACTCCAACAGAACGAGTCGAAGCAAGAGAAAGAACTTTAAAAGTAAATTCAATTTCCGCACGAAACCGAATTTCTGCGCTGGAAACTGCGCTTTACGAGCTGCGTTTCGCCATGGCTGTAGAAATAGAGGTATAGTGTGGTTTGACAGTTAAAATCAATTACTACGTCTCTTGTCTAACCGCGCTAAAATGAATAGCGCTTACCCAAGCTGCCATTCACTAAAAGCTGCAACTAAGGCAAAAGACGAGCTCATTTTTTTTTTTACAATCACTAAATTTTTTTTTCTAAAAATTAGAATCGTCAAAAACGAAAATGAAGTTGCCGAGCTGGCAAGAAGGTACAGGCCAAACGTCAAAAGTTAAAAAAGCCAAATACGGACGAAGTTACTACGAATGTAACAGAGCCAACGCCAGAATTCACAGTGCCGATCATTACGAACATAGAAACATTACGCGAAACGAATTGCAAAAATCCACCCGACGTGGAAGTGATAGATTTGTGCGACGACAGTGACACGGAAACGATCCCCTATCGTGAACCGATTGACGAAATCCCTATATTTAGCGATCCGATCGAGGAAATAGACACAACGTACGCAATTAAAGT